CCCTGACAACTTGTTGTTAGTGGGTGTTGCGTGACGTCAATGTTCAATTTCGTCTTTCCAAGCATCCTCTCGTCTGATTCCGCTGCAAAATGCAAATGCTCACTGATGAGTCTGTTTGATATCTCCTCCGCAGTAGGGTTGCGATCACCGCTCGGATGACTCGGAGCATCTAAAATGATGTTTGTTTGGCGTGTGAAGTTGCAAACAGTAAACAGTAGAACTCGCTAACAAACGCTTCAGTTATTAAGTAATAAGTGTGTTTGCTGCGAGCTGACATATTTAAAATGTCATTTATGAGACAAACTTGCTTACCTCCACTGGGTGGACAAGGCTCAATCCCATGAACAGCTAGCAGTACGATGCTTAATGCCTGCCACATTGTCGGCGAAATCATGAAGAAGTTAGCGGGTTTAGTCCCTTGACCTTCATTTATATTTTCCGCAGGTCGTCGCTGCGACCGTACATAAATGTGGCAGTTTAATTGGTCAAGCACGCCAGCGGCAAATGAAAATTTTATTCTGTCTGCGTTTAGGCTTTCGACGTCTAGACAAAACTGGTGAATGATGGCTGAGTTGAGGTGAAAAGCAAAAGCTATACACCATATTTACATAGTGATAGGATGTCCGTGGGATGTTTACCTAATAGTTTGAGCAAGACACTGCAATGCATATCAAACTGTTTGCACTGTGTGCGCGCCAACACGAAACTACGTGTGCACCATGCATACCAGAGAACAGGCTACTAAAAATGCTACTTTCGGGGTAAATTCTGGGTACGAAACACGGCAAATTCCACAGACAGAGGCACGATTGATTAGAAAGAAGAAGCTTCTATAACAGTTCCTTTAGAACAACATTGACTGCCTCCATACGCAGCATCGGAAAGTGGAAAAGGAATCAATGCAGAGACAGAAATATCGGAACACCGGTGGGTATCCGAACCTGCCCTGTGCCTAGCGAACACCTCCACTTAGATTTCGACAGGGAGAACTGTCACACTTCTGTAAGGTGTGAATACGGGTTCGCGCCTGGACAAAGCAACCTTTTGGGAAATGTAGCATTCCTGAATAAGTCGCAGGGCCAAACGCAGATGTAGTATGAACAAATTGTCCCCATACCCTATATTTATCAATTTTTGATCTAAAGGTCCATTATCAAAGACTGCAACAAAAGACCAGATGAGGTGTGAAACTGGGCCCTAATATTGAGGCATGCATTTGCCGAATCCTAAAACACGGTATAATCCTTTTGAGGGAACTGTCATTATCATCGATCACATCTGTGCGGCAGTAAACATTACCAGCTGCGCTCTTGGAGTCAAACTATGTAAACACACATTTGGTGTTGCGAGGAACAGTAGTGCTTCTTTCGATGCATAGTGTGGCACATTAAAGTATGATATGGTTGAATCAGGCGCTTGGAGACGGTCCCGGTGAACATGTTATTGTGCAGGATGATTTTTTAGTCAAGGGGCATTTGCTACTTGACATTCGTTTGCTTATCCGGAGTTTCATTCGATGTATAAATTTGTCTGGACCGCCCCCAACCCTAGAGGTTTAATTTTTGAAATAATTTACTTTCTAGTATACCATGATCTGGTGCAAAACGCTAGGGTGGTGTGAGGACACCGGCCAAGTTGCCTTTAGTTTCACCTAGTAGGGACACAGTAAGAAGTGTCCCCCCTATTCCATGTGAGTTACGGTTAGGGGGGTCATGGGTGGGTACACTGTCCTAGAATTTAGCACAGAGTCAGCCGCAGTACCGAGAGTATACCTATTCCCGTGTCCAAACGTCATTTGTATTCTGAGAATATTGTCATTTTCAACGGTCATCAAGGTTTCTGAAGGAAAATAGGGGTTTCAAGATAAAATTTTAAAAAAACATCAATTGACTGCTACAATTTCCTGAACTTACTTATTATTCGAAGGTCAATAATACCAATCCACTTGAGAATAAAAAAGCATGTCATTGTATACCCTGTCCAGAGCCCCTCCTGCTAGTAGCATTAAACCCCTATCAAAACAAACGGTAAAATATTGTGATTTTTCCGAATTAAACGTCGAAGTAAATCGCATGCTGTTTAACGAATGAGTGCTCTTTTCGATGCAGGTCCTCATTTTTCCCGATGCATATATGCATGTCCTGTTAATGCGATTGTTAACTGCGCGAATTTCTTCCCCTAATCCGACCGAACTAAAGGGCTTAGTGAGGAGAGACACTGGATAACAAGACAAGACTTTTGGCTTGGAAACATCTTGTTTTCTGTTTAGGTGATTCACGTCATTTTTAGGCATCATATTCCCGAAAAGTATCTGACAAAATTAGATACTGTCATTTTTTATCCATTTTTCAAAACTGACATGCCAAGTTAGTTTAAAAATGTACAGAAGATATTGTGTTTTCTAGAAAATGCAGGGGGGACGTAATTCCCGCCATATACGCATCGTTACTGAACGTAACGCTTTATTACAGAATCATTCGAGGCGTACTTGCTTTGTCAAAGAGGCTGGTAAACAGGCCAAAAACACTTAGACGTCGACGTAGACCATTTCGGTAAAGCCGCGAGAATCGAACCTTGCAGTTCGACGGGACTCCGTCCTACAGAGAACATGCGATTTTGATGGTCACTTCGGTATTTTCGTTGTTTGAGTCTGAATTCTACTGATTGAACTGAAGACCCCAATAACCATTTGGGTGTAGGCAGATATCAGATAAGCAGGCCTGTCCTCTCCTCAGTTTCACTTCTGCCCACTGTTGGCCGGCTGCTGATTTACTAATACTCGGATTTCGATAAGGATAGGTTGTGTAACCCCAGTGGGCTTAGAATTTATGAGTAACTGTTATATTTGTTTTAGAGGGCCTTGTTTTGTTTACTTATCCATTGCTACAAGAAGTGCCCCTGTGTGTGTTATCTAACACTCTCATATAACCGCACACACGGAGTTGTTTCAATATGACTTTCTCAGTGATAAATTATTTGTCAGAATGTTCTTGATCCCGCCCTCCGTAATCCGTTTGTCTTACCTTGATTTCCTATTTATCCAAATGTACTTGTACCGCTTTTCGTTGTCGTAAACCTTGAGGTACTTATTTCTTCTCGAAGTGAAGTTAAACCTTTTTGTGTCATGTTGGATCTTACCAAACTATGCGTGCTGTAAGGATCGCCAGCTGCGCCTTGGTCTGCTTTGTCTCGGTTAGAACACAATCGCTCTGCTTCCTAGATATCTATGACATATTTCTGTGGTCAAACGCGTGTGTCTGACTTATTGATTTCTTTACGAATACTTGTGCATAGTCCTTCTCATAAACAGTAATAAGACAGTTAAAATCAGTGGAGGGCTGGGGTAACAAAACCCACCATTGCATGGAATTTCATTCTGAGGAAATCGTCAGGACCTGACACCGGACTCGACGGTACACTGCCTTAAGAGTCAGTTCAGCTGGACAGAATGCCAGCGCTGTGTCACCGACTCACGCATTCACGCCGTCTTTTTCCACAATCCTAAGGCTGGAGTGACAATAAGTTTGTCCATTCTGAGTGCTTGGTGATATTTTTATGAGTTAGTGACATCGAGACATTCTTAACGCATTTGTACGGCCAGTTGCAGGATTGAATGTATACGTAGTATTGATGGTGCGAAATGTTATCCTAAATTCCCTCATACGCTAAGCAGCAGGCGATCACATGCAGAGGCAAATAAATTTTATGCAATATATAACAAATAAGCATCTAACATCTGTTCCTAAAAATCCGATGAATAGTTATACTTGCGACAACCAGGCCTTTCCAAATTCCTGGTGTCGATTTAAAATTAACGGTATTTTCTAATTTTGTAACACACTTTATGCTGATTTCTGACCCATCTTACAGCAGAAAGTTGATGTGCTTGTAAAAATGAAGTACACTTGTAGCATTTTGACCCTGGGACCCAGACGCCTCGAAGTGCAAAATTAACAGGTCTGGTCTGCAGGGCCAAAGGCTGAAGGAAATTTCGCATCTTGAGAGTAGGGGAAAACCTGAACATGTTGCGGGGGTATTTCATGCATCCATAAGTTGGTTTTTCATTTAATTTTACGTTAAACTTTTTAAAAAATTGGAGAAAACCGCAATATGCAGTAGAAAAAAAATTCCATATTTTTGTTTTGTATTCATTATACAAAATATTTCTGCATCCGTTCAATACAGTATAGCCCACCACGAAATCGAGGCCACGATGCCGGCGCTGTGTTACCGAGTCACGCACTCACGCCGTATTTTTCCACAATTCTTACATTCTAGTGACAATCAGTATTATCCATTCCAATTTTCTGCCGTTATTTAAACACATTTTATGCAGATTTCTGGCCCATCTTACAGTAGAAAGTTGATGTGCTAGTAAAAATGAAGTACCCTGGCAGCATTTTGACCCTGCGACCCAGACGCCTCGAAGTGCAAAATTGACAATTCTAGTCTGTGAGGGTAAACGTCTGAAGGAAAGTTTGTTATATTTTCACCTTGAGAGCAGGGAAAAATCTGTACATATTACAGGAGTACTGCATGCAGCCATAACTTGCTTTTTAATTTAAATAACGATCAATTTTTTTAAAAAGTGGGGAGAAATGGCTATCAAACCGAGAGAAACTCCGTATTTTGTTTTGAATTCGTTATATAAAATATTTCTATATCTTTTCAGTAAAGTATATAACACCAAAAAAAATGTTTACATTGGAAAAGTTTAGAGATCCGGGAAGATTATTAGAAGAAGAAAATTGGCTCTCCGGAACAGGTTTATTTAACTGCTGAGGTTTCAAAGAGCTGGGTCGGCTCTTCATTGTCAAAGCGTAAACTGCACTTAATCGATCAGAAAGTTAACTTAAAGTGGCAAGCTGTGTTGGCCGGCCTCATGCTGATCGATTTTTCTCTCTCCTCACGCTGCGTCGGCCTCTCAGGAAATGGTTGACGGGCGTTTTTGCCTGTGCGCTTTATGAGTCACCACTCCGTCGAGGGGAGCTGGTTGGACTTTAGTCGGGCGGTCGGTCTGGCGGTTCTTGTTCTTCCTCACCGAGTAAGCTCAGCGTCGGGCTATCTCCGTGCTGTCTTCTTAAGTCCGGTGTGGTTGTTTGGTCCTGAGCTCTACGGTTGTGATGACGTAGGACTTTGTAAGCTGCAGGAAGGTCCAGATGCCTGTTGATAGAGTGGGCATCGGAGAACCACGCCTCGAGAGTTAGTCGTTCTGTTTTTGTGTTGCCTCGGCCTAAGATGGTAGCCCTCTGGAGGTCAAAAGTATGCCCCGTTTCCCCAACGTGTGTTGCTAGTTGAGAGTTAGGGTCTAACCTCCGAGTGGCCGATTTGTGTTCTTGTAGGTGAGTTTGCAATTTCCGCACAGTTTCGCCCACATAGTTGCAGTCGCCCTCATTGCAATTTATTTTGTAGATGACTGCTGAGGTTTCAGCGGGTGGCAATGGGTCTTTAGGTTGCATCAGGCGACGTCGAATTGTTGCTTGTGGTCGATGGGCTATGCCTACTCTGGTGGGTTTTAACAGTCGCGAGACCGCTTCAGAGACCCCTTTAACGTAAGGAATGGCCCTCCAGACTTCGGGTTGCTGCTCATTTGGCCGTTGTCTGGGCGCCCAACGTCTGCTTCTCTCGATGAAATGCCTGGGATAACCATTGGCTGCAAATAGGTCCACAAGGTACAATCGTTCGGCCCTTTTATCTTCTGGTGTGCTGCAGTGTGTTTCGACTCTTTGGAATAGAGTGCGGACACAACTACGTTTGTGAGGCAGTGGATGGTTGCTGTTGAAGTGTACGATCTGTCTCGTGTCGGTGGATTTTCGGAATACTGTAGTTTGCAGCTGTCCAATGGTACACCGGCGCACAAGTACGTCAAGGAAGGGCAGTTGGTTGTTTGTTTCCGCTTCCATCGTAAATTGTATATCCGGGTCAACCGAGTTCAGTAGTCCCTTTAGGTGTTCTATGTCAGTTGTTTTGACAACGACGAAGGTGTCATCGACATAGCGGGCCCAGAACTTTGATTGATATTTGGTGAACACCAAGTGTTCTACCCGTTGAAGGACTACTTCAGCAATTAGGCCTGATATAGGGGAGCCCATAGGAGTGCCCTTTATTTGTTCGTACATTTGTCCGTCGAAAGTGAAATAGGTCTTGAGACAATATCTCAGAAGCTCGAGCAGATGCTCAGACTTCAGAGGTCTATCTCTCTCCTCATAACGCTCTGCCAGTAGTTGGTCCACAACATCTATCGCTAGTTGCTGTGGGATGGAGGTGAAGAGCGAAACGACATCAAAGGATACCATGGACTCGTCTGGCTCTAACCTCAGATGTTTTATGCGTTCGAGGAATTGATACGCAGATGCAACTGTTGTTGGTGAGCCTTCGGCCAAAAACTTAAGACGACCGAACATCCATTTTGCCAAACCGTACGTCGGAGTGCCACGAAGGGATACGATTGGCCTGAGTGGGACATTTGCCTTGTGTACCTTCGGTAGACCGTAAAAACGAGCCGTGGCGGTGTCAGTCGGTTTCATGGAGAACCAGTCGTTGGGTGTAATCGCCCCCTTGGCTTTGAGATTTCTTAGGCTTTTGTTTATTCGGGTGATTAGATTTTTCATTTCGCTGGCATGGCATTGTTTGTATGAATGCTGGTCTTCGAGTAAGTCCTGTACCTAGTTCTGGTAATCCGATTTTTCTAGCACAACTGTTGAACGTCCTTTGTCAGCTGGCAGAATAATTATGTCCTTGTTTGCTTTTAGGCTTTTCAGTGCCCGCTGTTCCATAAGACTAAAACGCTACAATGTAGAGATGGACCAATCTACGTGTTTTCTCTGGAGAACTGTCCGTGAAGAATCAAAGAATATAGAGCAGACAATCGTCAGACATGCTCAGAAAGTACGTGCCAAAAGAAACAAGGAGTTATCTATAAAATTGGAGAAACTTCGAGTACCAAGCCCCGACAACTCATCAGGCGTCCTTGTTCACAATCTTTCATCTAAAACCCTTACAAACACACAACTCGCAATCCTGGAACGTGGAGCAACTTTTAACACAGCAGATGCCACACCAACAGAGTTTATTGCCGCCTTCGAATCTGTTCTTCAACTAACAAAGGTGTCAGAAGAGACGAAAGAATTGATACGTCACCAAACCTCCTCGTTGCTCATGCGACACAGAAGGTGCGAAACTCTTAGCAGTATGGAACAGCGGGCACTGAAAAGCCTAACGCGAATGACTGGTACGGATGCGTGACTTACGCAGCTCACTCTGTGGAAACTGTCGAGCAAACAAGTCGCCACCCATTATTTGTTTCGACTGGACCGACTGTTGAAATACAAACCATTGGTTTCAGAAATCCAGTTGTAAGCCTATGACCAAGGTTATAAGTAGATAACCCAGTCTTATAAAAATAACGTAAGAAAATTCATTTTCTGCGATTATTTTACAGGATGTTTGAAGCAATTTTCTCCGGTAAGAAGTTAAACAGGCATACACAGTAGAATGTTTTGGTACTCGAAAATTTTGCGACAGTTTCTCATCCGCAAGTCCGTTATTTCAGTTCTGTCGCTAATACGACGTGAGAATACTCAAGTTTTATTATTTAAATATTGTTGGTTTTCTTCTTATCAACTTGGTCGATATTTTGGGTTGTAATTATTTTATTACAATTTAACTTTCATGATTCATGGATTCCAGACGTTGCAGTAGGCTGGGCGAGTAGTTTGACCCAATCGGGATTAAACTTACGTCTTCCGGTGGGGCCGCTAGAGCGTTGGCTATACTAAAGTCCTTCCCCTTGCTGTCGTTAGTTCGAATCCCACCAAGGCGCCGAAATATTCACCACTGGGTCGATATGGAAAATTTCATGATGTTAAAGACAAGAAAGAAGAATGATGATTATGTATAGGTTGGTTTCAATTACACCGCAAAAGCTGACGATTAACAAATATCCTCGTGCCTACTATGTGGTGCTGTCTTTTTAAATGCACATCGGAAGCCGTCTAAGTTCACGGAATATTTTAACGACCGAAATGGTGGTACAGATTTTTCAGGTCATGATTTTGAATTGTTGATAGCTGAATAGCCCTGATTTGACTCTGAGCAACCCTTCCACGACTAGGTTTTATGCCAACTGCATAACCCCTGCTGATGACTTCATACCATGTGGCGTACAAAGTAGCCAAATGCAAGAAGCACTATATAATTGGAGACGAGTTGATACAACATTGTGCATTATGAATGACAGCAATTGTTCTGGGACAAGAAGCCTCAAATAAGCTTAATTTAGTGCCCTTATCAAATAATGTTCTTCAAAGTCGACTTAGTGACCACAGTCCAGACATCCTAGATTTAGTTGTCGCTGATATTAAATCAAGCCCATCACAAATGGCTCTTCAGTTGGATGAAACAACTGATGTTGCAAATTACAGTCAACTTTTTTGTATTGGTGAGGTATGTTAATGATAGTGCCCTAATAGAAGATTTATATTCTGTGCAGACATGAAAATAACCACAAAAGGAAAAGCCGTCTTCCAGTATGTGAAGAACTTCATTGCGAAGTATGACTTTGATATCTAGATTATTCTGTAAGTATTGATACTACTGCTTCTATGTAAAGAAATAAATCAGAATTTTCCTCTGTGATAAGACGCGCGATTCCACAACTAATAGGCACCCACTGTTTTCTGCATCGACATACTCCGGTATCGCAAACATTTCGTCAACAATGGAAAAGGTCCTTGACAGTTCGGTTATGGCCATCGACTAGATTAAAGGTCGGGCTTTGAATCACCACCTCTTTAGGTTTCTTAGTGAAGAATTCGAAAGCAAACGTTTGGGTTTGGCTTTCCCTATGGAAGTTCGCTAGCCGTCAGGTGGGTATGCTTTAGCAAGCTTTTTGAATGCCTAAAAGAAGTTAAAGCATTACTAGAGGGACGACACCATGATCTGGTTGAAGAAAGAGACTTAGGAGAATCCAACCAAATGGTAGCTTGTTTGGATGAAATTCTCACTAGTATGAATGACCTGAATGTATTTATGTAAAGGATAAATTTAAACAAATTGGCATACTGTGAGAAGATGAAAGGGTTTGAAAGAATGTTACAACTTTGATCTTAACTAGTTAGAAGAAGCTTAAAGCGCGCAAGGCCGGCAAAAGTTTGAGGACCCCTGAGTTAGAGTGTTAATGGATGGCTTGACCTTTGAGAAGGCCCGACGGCTGGTGTAAGAGGTCAGACTTACCAACGATGTCTCCTTGTCTAAGTTCACCAATTTGAGTAGAGACATGAGGTTTAAACAAGTATACCGTCTTATTTCGCACGCTAAAGTGCATTTGCGAGTGAATTATAGACCAAGTGGGCAAACCCTATAGAACGTTTATTTCGTGCACATAAAATAGACAGTCTGATATGAAAATAGCGTTAGGGAACAATAAAAAATCTGTGAATTTTTTACAAAAGACAAACTAAATATGATCTGATTAGTATTTACGCGGGGAAACTCTAGGCAGAATACCATCACCAACAAAAATAATGGAGACTGGAAAGGCCATTCCGGGTTTACTAGTCGTCGCGATCCAGCCACAACCAAATCCGAAGTGCGCAATGCCTAGTTTTTGTTGATCTGCGTACATTCAGCGCCGCTGTGCGGTTGTTGGTGGGGCTCGAGCGGGAGCCCCACAGGACGAGTGAGTCCCGAAGCGCGACCCTCCACCAAAAAACGTCCCTCATAAATGTGGAGATTAGAGTGGGGATTTCTTGCAAATGAGACCTTATAAGTGTTCTAAGTGCTCCTCGTCAAAATCGAATTCGATGACGATGAGATCATAACATTATTTCGGATGGCGACAAAAACAACCCGCAGTAACCCACCGCCATCGGTCAAAGTCCCCTTAAACTCCAAGCGAGGGGAGACATGCAAGTCTGCGAGCATCATCAAAGCGCGGAGAGATACGATCATGATAATTCCTTGTTGACCCATCAAACTGCCAGCAGATGGCGGAAACAAAGGAATTCACCGAGATCGTCAACGGATCGTCTGGAGTCGAAATGAGGAGATGACACTGGACTCCGCGAAAATAATCGAAGCAGGGGAGGCGTAATAGCAGTGGATTTAGCAGTTAGTTTAAAATAGTATTGTAAAACTGAAAGTGAGATTTTGTACCTTGACAAGCAAATCATGTATAATCTGTCACTAAATCCCAGGGGGACCCTTTACAAAGTCCAGGATTTAAGTTTCCAGAAACTGCCTGGAGTTACGTGTTTAAGTAAGTCCGATTTAATACCGATAATGTAGGCGATCATCTGAGTTCTGGTGAGAGATTATTCAAAATGAAGGCATATTTGGATGCGAAAAAGAAGGAATGTCTAGACGCAGACCGAAGATGCGGCGGGCTCACCGTGAAGAATTGACAAGACCGATCTCTCTGAATGAGTTTCAGTACTCAGAAGACTAAAGTTAATGCAGAAGGCTAGAGTTAATGCGAACCAGAAAGCAAAGACCAGCTTCGAGTCTTCTAACCCACGACAACTTACTCTTCGCCAGTAGACATCACTCAGTATGAGAAATGCCGGATGCAGCTTGATTGATGATTTTTCGAGTAGAAACTTTCTGAACGATTTCGGCCTTATCACGGTCACAGGCTTTCATTGGACCACAGAAATAACAGCCGTATTCGATTACAAGGTGAAAAAAACATTCGGTAATAGCGGGGGATTTAGCAGCAAATCTAAAAAATCTAAATGAGATTTCCTACTTCGACTAGTAAAACATGTATCATCTGCCACTAAATCTCAGGGGACCATTTTCAAAATCAAGGAGTTAAGTGTTCAGAAACTGAATGAGTTACGGTATTTACGCTATTCCGATTAAACACCGATATTCTAGGCGGTGACCTGAGTTCTGATAAAAGATTATTCAAAAGGGTGGCATATTTGAATGCGAAAAAGAAGGAGTGTTTAGACGTAGAGCAAAGAGGCGGCGAAATAAACATGGAGGAATTACTCGTGGCATATGACCAATCTCTCGGAGTGAGAATGTCCATACACGAAAGAGTTAGTGCCAACCAGGAAGCAAAAGCCATCTTCGAGTTTTCTAACCAATGAAAACTTACTGTTTGTCAGTTGACATCTCCGGCATAAAAAATACCGGATTCAGTTCAAGAGAAGAGTTGTCGAGTAAAAATCCTCTGAAACATTTCGATTTTGCCACTTCACAGGCGTTCACTGCATCACAGAAAGGACAGCAGTATTTCAGGACGAGAATAAAAGAAGATTTTATAAAGTCTAAACTTTATTTCCAGAAGAAAAATACTCTGACACGAACCCACATGTTTGCAAATCCTTTACAGGTATTCGATCTGCGCGAGGCGATAAAACGAGTTTGTTTATTTAAGTTCCGCAAATATTTCCCTGTTACACTCGAGAAGTCAAGTTGATAAACACGTAATCTCGGAGATTCTTTGTCAGGTCAATGCATTTACATGAAGGGATGAAATTGTGCAAAAGTAACAGTGTTTATATGTGTCTCAAGGGATATTAGGTCATTAACACCCATCTTCTCCACGCCTTCCGCATGATAAGGTCGGCGGGT